GAGACCGATCCGTTGTTTACCAGAAAGAAGGAACGCAGCTCAGGTTCACGATCAGTTCTAATCAAGCGGTCCTGTAAGAGGGACTCATTCAGCCTCCATGAAAAACTTGGTGTTGGGCGCGGTTAGATCGAGGGACAGATGGATAGGGGCGTGATCGGAGAGGAGGATATTACCGATATCCGCTGAGAGTACCCGGAAGGTCCTGGTGTGGTATAAAGAAATCCAGTCTGGAATATGATTGGTGGGCAGCGGAGTAATAGGTGTAATCCCTAGTTTGAGGGTGCATTAGGCGCCACAGATCTACCAAGTGAAGCAATAGCAGTTCTGACTTCAACCTCCTAAGATAGGAATAGGAGAGATGAGGTGCCCCTAGAAACAATCAAGAATGGGGTCCATGGCAAAGTTGAAATCACCCCCCAGAAGGATCGATCCCTCGCCGAATTGCACTATATTAGTCACTAGGGTCCAGAGGAAACCCAGCTGATCAGAGTTAGGAAAGTATATGTTGTCCATGGTCACCTGTGACTGGCCCAACATTCCCTTGACCAGCAAATACCTGCCCTCAGAATCTACCAATTGGTCCTGGAATTGCCACGCTACTGATTTGGCAAACAGTATACTCACACCCTTCGATTTATTGATGGGTGAGGGGCAGTGGTACACCACCGGGAAGTCTCTGTTATACAGTTTGGGGACATTGTCCTTCTGAAAGTGCATCTCCTGGTCCACCAGCAAACGAGATCGCTTCTCTGGGACATTAAGTCCCTTAACATTAAAATGTGTGTGGATGACACATCAAGGACTTTATGAGCTGACTCAGCGGGCTGGGTGTCCAAGCGGGAGGGGAGGCAAGTAAAGAGGGCAAGGAGGGGGGTAGTGGGTCAGGAGAAGGGGAATAGAGCATTAGAGGGTAAGAGAAGAGGGGGAGGAACCAGGAAAATTGTATTTCATACTTACCGCAATTTTCCTTTCCTGACTAGCTCCATGGCAGCACACAAATGGGATGGCCCCGCCTCCCTACCAATCTGATAGGACGTTTAACTCATAAATCTTAGCACCCCCCAGTCCTCAGCATTACATTACTAGCACCTCCGACCGGGGGGGCACATTTGTGCTGTCCCGAAGTCTTCGAGAGTTGACAGAACCAAATCTCGATGACTTAGCAGCTGACTTCGCTCTTGGCCGAGCAACAAGATGTCGTCCAGGTAGTGGTATATCCGCACGCTCTCGGATGAATGCCACCAAGGCCAGAAGAACCTCTTCCCCCATTCCAAAAGATAACCATCACCTACCTGAAGGCAGACAGCGGGCACCAGGCAGCATAGAACCGCAGACAGCTGCTCTCCACAGCATGAGACCGAACGGCATCAGCCCTCGGTACATGCTGCAGTAAAAATAAAAACGCCGGCATAGCCCCTCCCCTTCGGCCGGCGCAAACGCAAGACGTCAGCGGCCGTCAGGGAGACCCGTGGAACGCAGCGACTGCGTTCCACATTGCGGCCCGAAGAGGGGGCGGAGGCACAACCGGAGTCCCAAGGCGCAGCCTGCGTTCCAACAACCGCCGGAACAGGGGGACAGTGTACAACCCTAATGAACCCAGTGTTACTGGGCAACTCCTGCCGCCTCGGGGACCAGCAGCGAGGCTCCCCCATCATGGCCCTTTAGGCGAACCTGGGGACTACACCCGACCGTGCGGACCAGGGTGGATGGCCAGAGGCTTTACCTCCGCCAGGTAGGCAATTCCCCACCTCCATCAGTAGTAGGAGGAGGAAAAAAGAGGAACGCTGAGGACTGGGGGGTGCTAAGATTTATAAGTTAAACGTCCTATCAGATTGGTAGGGAGGCGGGGCCATCCCATTTGTGTGCTGCCATGGAGCTGTCAGGGAAAGAAGGTTGGAAGAAGAAAAGAGGTAGAGACAGTGGAGAAGAAGCTATACCGTTTTTCCCAAAGGATGAGTACGTGGAAGTGGGACCAAACTACTCATCCCACTAGTTCCAAAGGTGATTGTCCCGATGCATATAACGCTGGGACAGCCTAATTGGGGGTAGCCGAGGTGCTAACAGCAGAAAGGCCAGCAGAGATGTGACTCACGCCAGAAGGTGTCCAACTGAACACCAAACTATGGTATGAAACCCATTTTTTATAACACCCGGTGACCCAGCAGTTAGGATCTTCAGCGAGGGGGAGACCTCGGGCGTGGTGGGACTGCGCACACTAAGACAGGATGGTATGCCACAATGGAAGGCCCACCACATTAACCCAGCATACATTTGAGCAACACAGCATGCAGAGGCAGACACAGAGCAAAATACAGAACTAGCCTCCAACAAGTAACAATATATTCAAGGAGCTAGGGTGACGACGGCAGGACGCACCGGAGGGCAGACCGGGTGCGGGTCATTCCTCCATGGGTCATGCAAAGTGGGGCCCTCGCCCAAGCGTGGCGGGGCCCCCTCGGGACCTAATTCAGGTGACCACAAGGCCCCCCCGCCCCAATGTGGATGGGACAGCCCAGAGTTCTCACTGACACTCCCATAGCCCCCGCCGACCAACCCTCACCCCCCCCCAGCTGCAGTACCGTTAACTCAGGAGCAGGGGAGTAAAAGTACCCTGTCCCTGAGCACGGGGAAATGCAGAGGATGCCACATCGAACAGAATATGACCTCCATCTGTGGAGAGAAGGGCAAGTTAAAGAATCCCAAGTGAACAACAAAACAACAACAAAAATGATTAAAAAGAGATAAACCGTAGTACCCTCCTGCAGGGGGATATGCCTGATGGCCAAAATGACCCCAAACTTCCTCTCTCACCACCCGCATAGCAATTGGCGTGAAAGCTAGGCAGGGAAAGGGAAAGCGGGGCAACCATCAGGGGGAGTCTTCATCTGCGGGGACTCTCCAGTCCTCTCATGCCGGTCAAGGTTCGGACCAGGATGAAGGGAGGCAGCACGTGGAGGAGGCCTGTCCCAGCTCCTAACAGGGTAAGGATTTCTTCTCGGAGGGAGAGGAAGTGCATATCGAGCAATGGAAATCCAGCCGGTTAGGCACCTCTACAGTGCTCGAGTCCAGAAAACCGTAGAGATCAGATAGCTGGTCTAGCGAGACTGTAGGCAAAAGGACCGGTCAATGAGGTGGAAGGGGTGCCCCCACCTGTACGTAGCCCCAACCAAGCGGATAAGATCCAGCACCGGCCTCAGAAGTCTGCGCTTCTTTAGAGTATGTCTGGACAGGTCTGGCATCACCTGTATGTTGGCCCCATCGAAGTCCATTGGGTCCTGCGACCAGGCCCGACGCAGGATCTCCTCTTTGATTGCAAAGAAATGAACACGACAAAGCACATCCCTCGGGGTACCATCAGTGCAGAGCCTGGGCCCTTGCGCTCGATGCACTCTATCAAGTTCCAGGAAGTCCGTGGGAGGTCTGTCCATGTATTGGTTAAGTATAGCTGTAACCGTTGACCACAGGTATCTCCCAGATGTCGCTTTGGGTATACCTTTGAGCGGGAGGTTATTCCTGCTGTTCTGATTCTCATGGTCATGCCCTGATTCGTCTCAGGGCGGGCCCTTTCCAGAGCAGCTAACCTGGTTTCAAACCCAGGAGGTGGATGTTTCAAGTGAGCCTACCTTGCCCTCCGGGGAGGTCACTTGCTGCTTGACCTATGCCACCTCAGGGCTGCCACGATCTTGGAGGCCATGCAATCTAGGTCCTCCGTCGGCAGGTGGCAGAGAACGTCCTGCCAGTCTTTGGCCGGTCCCCCTGGAGAACTCGCCGTGCTGCGGGAGCCCGCCGAACCCCTGTCAGAGTCCACGCTGGGAAGCCTCGGGGTCGGAATGGGGGATGCAGGTGGGTCCGGGTTGCGGGCGGGAGGAGCCCGTGTGGCGGTCTGCTACTTACCCTGCGCCTTGAGGGGAGGCCGGAGCTCTGGTAGGCCTCATCGCGGTCGTCGAAGGGTGGGGACTTGCGTTGTCACAGGCGCGAAGTAGTGGAGCAAGTACGGTCCCGGGTGATCTTGGGCGTGCTGGCGGGGTTGCGGTGGCTTTGCATACAGTGTACTGGGCTGGTATCATCAGCTATAACGGCTTTTAGCGCTGGTGGTCACAGAGCTCCAGAGACTCATGTGCTCATTCGGCCATGTCAAGACCACGCCCCCATGTTTAAGATTCTTAACAGAGAACAATTGGCCCTCAACCATTAATTGTGTTCATTGTTTAGTTACTTATCCTGTTGGCCATGGGGGGGTGACATTGGGGCTAGCTGTATAACAATAAGATTGTTATATAGCAGTGCTGGGGAATTGTATGTTTTGTCTGTTGAGTGCATTTGTAGAATATTGCTCCTCTCCCTTAAAACATTTGCTAATTATAAATGTATTGTGTGATTTTTTTTTTTTCTATTCTTCATTTTATTCTAGTAATTTTACAGCATCTTTGCTAACATAACAATGTGTCAATTTTAATATGGATGGTCTTTTTTCACCCGGAAGTCACAAACTCTTCTCTACATGTAGATTTATTTTGAGCTTATGATATCAACATATGACTGAATATCATTTGTTTGTCTTAAATTTTAGAGCAGACAAATGCACAAAAGGTTGTAAGGTGTGCCTTGAGCAGCTGTTTCCACAACTGAAATAGTTAATTATTGCTTGTCTAACTGAAAAAATGTGATATGACTCCGGAAAGAACATTTCCATGTTCATTCCCAGTTAGATTAGTTTGTTAAGCCATACCGCAGTATTTCTTTTATCCCATTACTTTAAATGTAACAGAGTTTTGCTGAACAACCTGAACCCTGGGATAAGGTTGCATTGTCTTTATTCTCAACTTGGAATCAATTTACATGGTGTTAATTCTGAAGAGAGCAAGGCAGAATCTATTATTTATTTTTCCTGGTGTATCTTTGTAACTGTGCCCATCATATATTTTTCTGTCAAATCGGTGATGTGGCGCATACCAGGGAGAAGAGCAACAGAAGAGAAAGAGCATCTGGAAAGAGGATTCATGGAAAACAGAATTGACACTGATCAAAAAGATTGCATTCCTCCCAGGCCAACTCGCAAGAATAAAGAAACAAAACAAAATATGCCAGATGAGTCATCACAGGCCCAGTCAGCAGCTTTTCACCCTCCACGAGCCAAACCAAAACTGTTTTTTCACACTCAATTGGCCCATGGCAGCTATACTGGAAGAATACAGGGCTTTACTAACGTCAAGGAACTTTATGCCAAAATTGCCGAGGTATTTAATATTTCCCCAACAGAGGTGAGTTTTTAAAAATATATTGTTAGAATTTAATTTAGACATTTCAGATGTCAATATTAAAGAAAAAAAAAAAGTATTTAGTGAGTAAGAAAAGTTAACTAGATTTTATGACTAGCTAGAGAAAAAGCTGCTCAAACGACTATTTCTTCCCATAAATGTAACAATCTACAGTATATAGAAGTACAAAGTATGAATTTAAAAAAGCTAAAATCTTTTAAAACACTTATTGCATAATATAAGGTTTCTATTTGCAACTGTTTAAGTTCACAGTGAATGAATTCCTGAAAACTAGAAAGTGTTTGATTTCTTCAAGCTCACAAACCGACATGAACACATGTGCATTATACATTTCTCTCTTGTAGGCATGTTCTAATGTGCTCTTTTATGAGAAATGCATGAATCTTATCCATTAGGACTGATCATTAGTTCACAGTATTCATGTGTTGTCATGCTTTCTTTTGCCAGGAACGCCTGTACTACCGCCCATGACCACCATGAACTAACAGTTTCTTTAAAGTACTGTTGTAGATACAACTTCGCTTTTCCTGTGAATATGCCATACATTTGGGGATTAACATACATATACACTTTTGATGCCATTTTATATTACTATATTAACCCCTTAGTGACACAGCTTCAGAACATTTTTTTAGTTCCTGGGGACCGGAGCAATTTTGCCATTTTTGCTACGTGTTCGTTTAACCATAATTTCCATCTTCCTCACAGTTTATATACCATTTATTAAAGGACAAATGAGCTTTAATTTAATGTGACATGCATATATAAATTCTTATTTTGTTTGTTTTTTATTTTAGGCAAAAAGTGTAGGATACATACATATATTACAGCTTGTACAGTAAGTTCAAGTGAGCTGACGAAGCAGCCTTAGACATCAGAAAGTGTTGGGTCGCAGACATAAAGTGTAACTTAAAACACAGATCATTAGATCATGAAATTTAGTGAAGTAAAATTGAATAGGTTACCAACATTTAACAGTCAACCCTTTTAGTGGGTTAATAATAAATGTGCATGTGTCTTATAAAGAATACTATGCATTACACGAAGTTTCGTTTGTAATCACCAAACTTCCTGAACATGTGAACGGTATCTACGTTACTTCACGTAACAGCACCTTTAAGGGGACATGGGGGTAGAGAATATATTGAATCATTTATAGTTACTCAAGAGTGGAAAGAATCAAGAAAAAGGAAATATGGAAGTAGCAAAGAAAGGATAGACAAAAGTGAGTAGAGACTTTGTTCAAAAAACAGAAGGAAGGCAGGTTGGGAGAGGGGGCATCCCATCAAGTGAACCCGGGGTCAATGGTGATACGGAAGTAGCGTCAAAATATCGAGGGCTGGCATATGTTATCCATGGTTCACAGAAAGACTCCTAGCTTTACAGCAGTCCCACCATATATGGCCCATCTTTCCCGGAGCAGAACAGTGAGTTCTGCTCCGGGAAAGCACACAACACGCTCCCACACAACACGCGCCCCCCAGGATTGAGCCCCATCACTCTACATACCTTAAAAATCTGGGACTCAGTTAAATATTCAAGCTCACTGGCGTCTCCCCATCTCCCTCTTCCTTTCCATCATGCCTGTTATTCTCCCCCGGAATGGATAATCCCACACAATTTTCTTGGTGGACTAAAGCGGGATTTCTAGACATTCACTCCTAGCTATGCAACTCGGGAATACGCCCATTTACTTCAATTAAACCATCTCATAAAGCACCCCAGTCGGAATTTTTTCACTATCTGCAATTGAGACACTTTATTCATTCCCTCATCACACATCACCCCTCCCCTATACTCTATCACCATGTGAACATTGCTGTCACACAGACCTTCATGCCCCGGGTTTAATCACGCTGATCCAATCCTCCCTCTCAGCCTCGTTTTCTCTCAAACAAATCTCCTACCAGTCCTCATGGTCGAAAGACCTGGGATATGAACTCGCTGATGACGACTGGCAGTCCATTTGGAGAAACATAGCTTGCTGTTCTCGCAACATTCTAGCTCTAGAAAACTCATATAAAGTTCTCTTCTGATGGTACTATACCCCTGCTAGACTGCATACTATCATCCCCTCTTTTCCTCTAAAATTCTTATTTTTTTTAATTTAAAAAAATTGAAAATATCAGGACAAATACATTACTTTATTTATCCTGATTTATAGGGTATGTCACATGTCTGGGATTTCACTTTATTTTGGGAGTTATAGGTCACAAAATACAAGGAGCGAAATACAATTTTTTGCTTAATATCTTAGTTACATAGTATTTGAGGTTGAATAAAGACACAGGTCCATCAAGTCCAACCTTTGTGTGTATGTGTGTGACTGTATACGAGTCCCCATGTGATCTTGTTTTTAAGAGTACCTGTACCCCTGTATGTTACGGTCTCTGAGGAAGATATCTAAATGCTTTTTGAATGATTCAATACTCTTAGCGGATACCACTGCTTGTGGCAGGGAGTTCGAGATTTTAATAGCTCTAACTGAAAAGAAGACCCTACGCCCCCTGTGATTAAATCCTTTCTCCGCCAATTTTAGGTGGTGGCCTCTAGGCTTTTTTTATGGTGTTTACTAGAATGTCCCGATACCGATTCCAGCATCGGTATCGGGGCCGATACAGGGCATTTTCACAAGTACTGAAAATACCCAGATACATAGCGTCGATACCGGCACTTTAAATTTTTAAAATAGTTTCAGCCTGCCCCGAGGTATCGTGCTTGTATGGGCAGCTAAACTAGGACCTCACAGAAGCTCCTCCCACAGCACGGCCAGGAGAGTGACGGAGGTGCAGGAAAGCATGGCATGTCAGCTGCCTGATACCGGGCCACGGGCGCTCCGCTTTGCAGCTAGATCTTATCTGGTGAGTGTGTCCATCTGTGTGTCTGTGAAAGCACTCCCCTTCCCCATCCTAGAGATGGGACTTCCTCACGTCCCCTGTTATTAACCCCTCCATCACCACGAGCTTCCTTACGCTCTCCTCTACCACAGAATGCCTGCCATTTCCCTCTCCATTACCACAGTCTGCCTAAACCCCTCCAACACCAGATAATGCCCTCCATAGCCGCAGGCTGCCTGCGATGATCCCCTCCATAACCGCAGGCTGCCTGCGATTATCCCCTCCATAACCGCAGGCTGCCTGCGATTATCCCATCCATAACCGCAGGTACAGCACCGTCAGCGAGAGGGGTTCCCACCTGACAGTGCTGCTCCTCCATTCCCTGCTCCAACGCTGTATGGAAACATCAGCATCCCCCACATGCGCAGCATCAAAGCCCCCAATTGCAGCGGAGGTGATAGAGATGCAATTGGATGCACCAAACAGACCAACAAGCTATCAGTAAGCAAGTGGCTGCCTATCAAATAAATCCGCAGCAATTACCGGCCTGAATGACGCATGCAAAAGATGCTGATGCCTTGACGCAGCGCCAAAGCAAGAAGCAGAGGGGCGGTACCGCCACAACCCCCCCCTGCACCGACAGCGCCACGCCCGTGGCACCAAGATCCTCAACAACCGCAGGTTTGGCGGGGATGGGGCGCATTGAAGAACCTGGCCTTGGGACAGCAGAGAAAGCAAATCCTGCCCCGCTTATACGTTTTGCTTTTGTATGTGGCAGCTGTGACAGGGCTGGCTGCAGGTGTGATACAGGAAATTGAGACAGATTGGAAGAAGCAGGGAAGACATGCAACTCTTTTTCTGCTGTGTACTGGTCCTGGAATTGTGTACCGTTAAATGATCATTGAACCATTAACTGATCCATAGTACACAGTTCCAGTACACTGCAGAAATACAATTCTCCCCAGCTAACCTTGATAAGTTAAAATTTAGGTTAGCTGGGGAGAATTGTAACTATTTCTGCAGTGTACTGCAAGTGTGTACTATGGATCATTTGATTTAACCTATTCAAGCTAGCAGGGGAGAATTATAACTCTTGAAATGATCAGGTTGCAGAAACAGAGCAACAATTCTCCCCCGCTTCTTCCAAGCTGTCCCACTTCTCCCAATTAAACTTGAAGTTATACAAAGTATTGCTGTTGCTGATGTGAAGCAATGACTGAGACATTTATCATTTTAGGGCAGTTTCTTGCGGAGCATGTTCATAATATTTCCCACATCCAATCTAGTCTGTATTGTTTTAGAAAAAAATGTTGCATGTCCCTTTTAAGAAAAGTATCGGTAATTGGTATCGGCAAGTACATGAGGGACAGTACTTGTACTTGGTCTTGAAAAAGTGGTATCGGGACATCCCTAGCGTTTGCTGTAAAAAGTTTATTGCTGATGTTGCCATCACCACTAAGCAGCTTATACATCAAAATCATGTTCCCTCTTAAATCGCCTCACTTCTATCATGAACATGCTTAAATTTAAGTAACCTTGTCTCATAGCTTTGATCCTCCAACTCCTAATTAGTTTGGTTGCCCTTCTCTGGACTCTCTCCAGCTCAAGGATATCCTGTTTGTGGATTGGTGACCAAAACCGGACTGCATACTCCAGATGAGGCCGAACCAGTGGCAAAATGACTGATTTGTCTCTACAATACAGTACATTCCCTTTTTAATACAAGATAGTACTCTGCTCGCTTTGTTTGCTGCAGCCTGGCATTGCAAGCTATTGTTCAATCTGTGGTCTATTATGACCCCCAAATCTTTTTCAATTTCTGACTTCCCTAGTGGAGTACCCAGTAATATGTATTCCTCTTGCTTGTTTTTAACCCCAAAATGCATTACTTTAAATTTTTCAACATTAAACCTCATCTGCCATATAGTTGCCCACTCTATTTTATCCTGATCCTTCTGCAATGTTATAGATTCTAGGTCCGTGCCTATTACCCTCTTGATTTTAATATCAACAAAACACAGAAACATGGCTATTAACACCTTCCCCGATATCGTTAATGAACAGTTTAAACAGTATGGGGCCTAGCACAGAACCCTGGGGCAGCCACTCTCAACCATAGACCAATCTGAGAAAGAGCCATTTATC